TCATGGCAATTTAAAGTTATTATGTTTGCTAATGATACTGTTCAATTTGTTATTGAGTATGTAATTATTTATTTACTGAAGCTGCTTATTCAATTCATATCTTCATGTGCAGTCTATATCTGAATTTTGTGGGCATATCTCCAATCACTTGGTATAAAATTGAGAAATTATAAGACCAATTTGAATGCACAATATTTGGATGATAGACCTATCAAACAAATTATGGAGACAACTCTAGCTGGAGTTGATGTCGCTCAATGGCGTCAATTAGTAAATCAATGGTTACAGCTAGGGCTGTCAAACAAGCTCATCATTCGCGAACAACTCGTGCTCGGTTCATTAAATAACTCGCGTTTGATTTGTTCGCTAAGCAAACGAACTGAACACAAACAAACTTTTTGAGCTCGATTTATAAACAATCCGAACACAAACAAAGGGTTATTCAGTCATGCTCGACTTATTTAGCTCGAAATAATAAAACAATAGTATTGGTTTATATCCTTTTTATATTAATTTTTTATATGTTTTAAAAATTTATTTGGGTGGTAATAATTGTTAAAAATATAAGTTAAGGTGTTAGATTTATAAATAAATAGAATTTGGGTGGTATCTATGCAAATGAGCTTAAGGGTCTGTTTGGCGCAGCCATTGATTATTTATAATATGTTAATAAGCAAATTATTCTGATAATTTGATAATCTGCAGATTATTAGAATAAGTTGGTTTGTTGTTTGGGGGAGCTTATTTAGAATAGATTATTGATAGCTGTTGTTGGAAAATTGACAATTCTGCCTCTGTTTGTTGAAATTGTTTGTAACAAAATTTATGTAATCATTTATTTTTTTTATAAATTATTAACTTATTAGCTAATAAATTCTGATTAATCAATTATTAATAACATTAATTAAGATATATAAATTATAATATATATCTATTATAATTAAATTGATGATATATAAATTAATTATAGATTCTCAAATTAATTATAATTAAAATTTTGATATAATTAATTATAAATTCTTAAAAAATTATGATAATTAATTTAACTCAGCCCCCATAATGCTACAGGTGAAAGTATTAGGTATGGTCCTGATCCAGCCCTTTCTCGGCGGGGAGGAGAGGACGAAATCAGAGATTAGGCTTGCCAGAGCGCCGCTTGTCTCAACGGAGAGAACAGATTGGCTTTGGAGGGCCTTCGTGAACCAACCTCGCTTGTCACTCCCCCTCCCGGTTTTGCCCAAAACGATTGCCTTCGTGAACGATCTCTCTCCGGTTTGGCCCAAAACGATCGCGAGGATCGCGAATGATCGCAAAGGATCGAAAGATCGCGAAGGCAACGACAGACCAAAAATTATCGAGGAAGGTAACCCTGTTTGCGCCATTCTTCCTCTTCACTTGGTGAGAGGGCGAGGGCTTTTTCACCCGAACGCGGGAAGTAGGCGCAGGACGCGGCTCCTTCTCCGTTTCTCCTTCTGTTAAGGAAATCTCGTAAGCGCGTGTGAGCAGAATAATCTGCGTCTAACATGTTTTTTAAACACCACTGTGGCTTTTTCATACCGCCACCGTACCCCAATAAGTTGCCCCAAACGGACCCTAAAATAGAGCACAATCCTTGAGAGTTGGGTGGTAGCTGGCTTGCTGCTCACTCCATCCGCGTACCCTCCTCCTGCCTGCCTGCCTGCCCATTTTTTTAATCCCACATCACATATTTTCAAGTAGTGGTTATTCCATTATTGTTTAAATATAGAATAAAGTGGCAACCGAAGTGCTTAAGGAGTTTGGAAGTAAAGCCCAAGTTTTAAATTTAGCTCAAATTAAAAATGGTGATGTTTTTTCTGATTTTATGTTTCTTGACTTCAATCAAATAAGTTTTGAGCTCACTTTGAGCTTATTATAAATAAGTCAAACATGAGCAATTTCGAATGAGCCGAACACAACCAGGTGCTTCGCAATATCTTAGTCTTACACCCAGTTACAATTAGATAAGAAGGTTAACACTATATGTACGTTTAATTTCATATTAAAAGATTTTTTTTCTCCAAAAAAAAAAAAACTTATAAATACAGAAAAAACGAACATGTCATCGTGTAATGTATATCAATTATGGAGGATAATTTACAAATTCATTGTACATTGATTTTTAATATATTTTATTTGTGCGTGCTACAAAAGATAGATTACAATAACAGAGGATAAACAAAAAGGGTAAAAATAAATCGTGAGCTTCCAAAGATGCAAGACCACGATAGGTATAACAAAATTAATTATACCTATCGTGGTCTTGCATCTTTATATATATATATATATATATATATATATTTTGTGTGTGTGTGTTTATTTATTTAAATTTAATTTAATTACAAACATACACTCTAGGTGTAAGCTTGTGCCTCCTTGTTAAGAAATCCTCTGAAGTTAATGAGAAGGTGTTTATGCAAGTCATGAGCCCTGAACAACCGGGTAGAGTTCGAAAGCAAGAGTTTGGAGTTACTCCAACCCGAGTTTCCCATCATAATGACACCACTGCATGCGAGATCAATGGAGCAAAGTAGTAGTTTTCTCTAGTTGCTAGACTTGAGGAGTTGCATTCTTTAAGATTAGTCATTAGTGGCTTTATGCAACAATTTCATACACGATTTACATCGTCCGACAATTTTCATAATGTGTGTAATTCGAAGTTAAAAATATTTCATAATGTGCGTATAATTCAAAGTCTTTGATTTTTAGCTCTATTGATTAAGATATTTGGCACAATACTGGCAACAGGTCCATGCTATGGTTCCCTAGCCGAGCACATTATTCTGACTTGGATTTGATTTTATTCATGGCAAATTAGTTTAATTAAACTAAATTTAGCTAATTGAGCTTTCAACTTCTATTTATTTAGAATTTTTTATGATGGTTTGTAATTTATGTTTAAGTTGTCTAAATTAATTAAACGAGCATTCAAATTAAGTAATATGTAATTTATAAATGAACTATCATATGATTATTATTGATGTGTGCTAGAAAATTCATGATAGTAGAGTAATAGATTATCGTTTTAGCGTTGTACGAGAAATCAACACACACTCAAGTAAAAGAAAACAATCAATAATGATACCAATAATTTTTACGTGAAAATCCCGTAAAAAGAAAAAAAAACTATGAGGTCTAGCGCAACTGAAGAAATCCACTATAAAGCGGATCTTACATGTACAACGTTCCACGGGTGGGAAAGAGTTGAACACTCTTCAGAGTTAAAACAACATCAAAGTGGATAAAAAACTTGTCGGTCATATCAAACATCAAAGTGGGTACCAAATTATTGGAAGTACCTCATCAAATAGAAAGAACTATCTGACAGTAAGGTCAGATAGAAACATGAGTACACATTGTTGGAAAAAAAAAAGGTTCAATAGTATCAGGAGGAAGATACAATGAGGGCATTATGAGCTTAGGTGAAAGAGAATGTCAAGCACTGTCATCTCAAGAAATTGTGAGCCACGTTCCTTAGCTATGGAAAAAAAAAATTTCTAGAAAAATTAGAAAGAATGAGAATAGTTTAATGGATTCTAGAAGATTTCACATCATTCTAGAATAATGTTGAAAGAGACGAGCTTTAAGAGAACTTTATAATATTCAGGAAAGCTTTAGAATCATGTATAGATAAAAAGTAATGTAGAACCATCTTGAAGATAATCTATTCTAATGTAATATAGCGCAAGTTTAAAGTATGCCCTCACAAATCTTAAAGTTATCGAGCCATAGATGGAAAAGGTGATGTGACATTGTCGGACCCCACAAAGACTAGAACCGTGAGCCAAATTGACTGACTCTCACGTACCGAGAGGATAATACGTCCAAGACAAATAAGGGAGATCAACCTTTAAAAAGTCCAACTAACCAGGCTCATGTGGACGAATCCGACACCCTCCATCCGGACAGACAAAATGGGCAAAACAAATCGTCAGTTTCAGAGTAGTTGGCATCGATCCTAGTATGTTGTCGCCCAACTTAACGACCACCTGAACTAGTGTTCGTCCGATCTCGCAACCGCCCAACCCCTCCCGACCGGATATTTCTAGGCTCCACTGGCCATATTTTATGTATAGATTGAAATACCACCGCCTTACCTACATAATCTAGGGGTACATCATGTAATTATATTGAACACATTTTTATAAATAAAGAGTCTATTTCATAAATAAAAGTTACACAAATTTACTGCTCATTATTGTGTTATTGCTCTCTTTTCTCTCTCTCTCTCTCTTCAACACTCTATCCTTTAGGTGTGTCTCCCTGTAGTTTTGGATTAAAATCCATAATATTCTCTAGGACTTGAGAGAAGACTATAAATAGAGACCTCCCCCCTCATTTGTAATCAACCAAAGTTTTCACACAACTATGTGTGCAATCACTCATTTATTAATGAAGCGTTCATTTCTCTCAATAATCTATTCTTCCTTAAAGAGTTTTTATATTTTCAAGTCCAGACGTTGCATGGGTTAGACGGACATAGTGCTTCGAAACGAGCTAAGGTCACACTAGTGACTTGAGAGAAATTTGTTCGTGACATTTGTTCTAAATATTAGTACTTTTATTGGCAAAATTGCGAAGGTCATTTAAATACATACCACACAATAACTGATATTTATTGGAAGATTTACAAGCCACTCAATTCTGAAAAAATACTAGGTCAGGACTTCGAATGCATCCGAAGTTCAATAGGTGGGTGTCACGTGTAAAGCGAACCAATCACAATGTATTGCGGTGGGTCCAATTTACACGCGGTGCCGCACCATTGAACTTCGGATGTATTCGGAATCCTGAACTAATATTTCCTCCTAAAATCTTATATATTTTTGATAATGTTTGGGGTGTTTTGAATTTAAATAATCAGGAATATGTAATATAAATAATTTTAGGTGTTCTGTATGTAAATTTCTTAAAAAATAAGAATTACGGATGCAAATTTCCGAATTTACAAATAGCTGAGTCCTCCACTTAGGTTAAGTTATTAAGAATCCGGGCTGGGCATTCCAGAGCGGGCGAGAGATGGCAAGAGCTTTGGCGGCGGCTCGTTTGGGATTCCGACGCCTCTTCTCCATCTCCGCCTTCACCCCTCCTCCTGCTGCCGCCCCTCCCCCGAAGGCAGAACCCTCGACGAACCTATTCGTATCAGGCATGTGTCGATCTCCTCCGTTCTGGTTCTATATGCAGACCATTTGATTCATTGTTAGAGTTTTCTCACATGAGTGAGTGCGGGCACACTACGATCGCGGAAAGTTTGAATTCGATTTATCCGTAGCTATTCTTGCCACTGCCATGCTTTCTCTCGAATTTATTTGTTCTGTTTGTTTTGTCTGTCTTTCTTTATGATAAATTATCAAGAATAGTTGCTACTCATTTTTCGCTCCTCTTTAGTGTGAGCGTAGTCTTTTATTTTGGTTGATACAATGTGCAAGCATGTAGTTGTATTAATAAAGCTGCTGTCTTTGGGGTTTTGTAAGCTTAGCCCATTCCACGAGGTATGAAAACCAGGTTTCTGCTAATATGGATTGAAGGCTGTGATGACTACAAAGATTCTAGGCTGGGATTTTGTTTAGTAGCTAGGAAGTTATGTGGTATCTTAATTTATGCTTTCTTGGCATCGATACATTGTCTTACGCTATAGTTGTAACACTATATTACTAAAGAATGATTGAGATTTTTAATTAGTTCACCTGTTAAATTATGAATTTTTCTTACTGGTGGTCATTGTATAATTAGAACAAACGAGACATTTGCTGGCATGTGTCTCAGGAGTTGTTTGGTAGCAGATTTGGGCAGTTTTATCCTGTCAAACGGTCCTCTTGGGCAACCTAAATCCACAAAATTTTCATTCCTGTTTCACCCAAAGTCTTGGATTTACTAAATTTGAGAGTTTGATGGATTTAGGAGATATAGTGAAAGAAACATGCTGGAAGGGAAAGAATACCGGTTTCGTCACTTTGCATGCAACCGCCTTTCGCAACTTCCGGCTTTGCTTGCAAGTGCCCATCACTAAGTCTCGCTTTCCTTGATGGTTTTGGGGAGGAGTGAAAGAGGAAGAAAAATGGGGGGTTTTGGATTGCTTCAATCAGGGAGGGTTATGGGAAGTAGCGGGAGAGGAAGATCGCGGGATTTATTTAATAAATCTATTAATTTAAATTATCAAGTTAAATAAATTACCATTATTTGTTTTTTAGGTAAACAGAAAATTTGTTAATATTTATTAAATTTATAATTTATTGAAGAATGATTATGAAGGTATTATTGAATTAATTTTTTTTATTTTATCAATTTAAGTAATAATCTAAAGTACTGATTTATTAGTAAATTCATATATTATATTAAACTATCATGCCAAATAGTTTTTAGGATTCAACAACATCAAAATTTACTAAATTCGTTTTTAGAAGATTTTGAACTAAATCCTATTTGAATTTAATCCCAGAACTTGCTAAATAGGTCCTTTATTTTTATTTTTTTTCCACATTATGATGATATATAAATTTACAAAAAGGTGAAAAGCTTTTTCTTAGTGTTGTAGTTTATCTACCATTGGAAGCATTTTATACTTTGTAATAGAAACATGAATGCATTCATGCGGCCACCATCAGCCTTTTTGTTTAAAAGATAATTAATTTTAGTGATATTTGTGTATATATCATTGAAATCTTTTTTATTCACAAAACTAACTTTTGATGTGTTTAAAATGAACTACCAAGCATATCTATTTGCATGCGATACAACCAAGTTATTAACATTTTTGCAATTAACTGAGTAAGAAAATTTGTAGTTATGTTGTGCTATTCAAGATTTAAATGATATAGTATAAATATAAATATTAGGGTGATTGTTTTGTAATAATGTAATGTTTACATGTTACAGATGTAAATGTCTTTTAATTTTATTAAGAATGTTGTGAATTGAGAGAATGTGTTTGGTAAGCTCAACATAAATGCATGGATATCATTTCATCCATAAATTTTGATTTTTATTTGCATGTTTAAATAATAATTTTTTTGGTTGATATTGCAGCCTCTTGCTTAATTTGCTATTTGAAATCTATGAAGTTCATAATTAAAATAAATACATGACAACACAAACTTGATCATTTTCAAAGCTATTCAAGAAAGCCAGTTGTTTAGACTTGTGTCTGAAATGTAAAATCTATACAGTATATTGGTTGATTAAGTGAATAAATGTGGATAATTATTAGTCTTCTATAACCTTAGTAGTTGTATTGGTGGTATGTGTAAGTTGCAGCTTTTGGACCTCTAGCCTATTTTATATTGAAATTATGTAAATAAAATTATGTCAAGAGAAGGGTGAAAGTCTTTTAAGTGCTATACAATAATCTGAATTCATGGGCGGAGTCAGCTGACCTTTCCACTTATTAGTTTTCCATGTTTAGATCAACTATAAGTTGGTTTCTAATAAAGGTGGCTGGGGAGCTATGAAAAACATACACAAATACGGGGACACATCAATGACATCACGCGATATAGGAACACAACATAATTGAAAAAATTAGGACACGACATGTCATGGATGTATTTTTATATTTAATTAATATATCTTTTTTTTTCATTATTCTTCTTTAAAGACATCACTAAACAAAGTATGCAAGAATAAAATTAACTTATATTATGAAACCTCATGCTTATAAAAATTAATTTTTTAAAACTAAACATATAATATGTTTCAAAAGAATTCATCTAGCTTTTCTATTTAAATTTTAAATATCCTATGGATAAACATATAATATTATGAAACCTTTGATGTTAGATTTTAAGGAATGTTAATGGGAACTTCAAATGAGAGAGGATGTGGATGAGGTAAAATTAGGGCTATATGTATATCTTTAATTTTCTACTTTTTGTGTTCCACTTCTTTTGATGGGGATGTTATTAGTAGAATTCAAGTTGGTTGGTTGATGTAGTGGAATGCATCAGACCTATTGTGTGCTAGAAAAGTACGGCTTAGACTTAAAAGGAAAATTTTATTAGATGGTGGTGAGTTTGTACTGCTTTGTGGTGTAGATAATGCCGACTATTGATGGAGAAGCATAAAGCTAAGTGTTGCTGAGATGAGAATGCTTAGGTGGATGAGTGGCTTGACACTTAGAAGCAAAAAATGTGAAACGAATGTGTCCTTGAAAGGGTTTGTGTAGCTTCAGTGGCAGACAAGACTAGAGAAACTCATGTTAGATGATTTGGTCACATTAAATGTTAACCATCTGATGATGTGGTTGAGTAGGACTGTTAACGTTATAATTTCGTACCAAGCTGGGGAGGCTCAAAAGCTGCTTGAAAAAAAATCAATCCAAAATTTGGGCTTGTAGCTCAACTCATTTATTTTGATCCAATCTCGATTCGAGCCGAAATTCAAATCAATTTTTGAGCGATTAACTATCTTCAAGCTAAATTCACTAAATTCATAGCGTTAACATCAGTAGGGATGTTAACATCAGTAGGGATGTTTATGATTCAATTTTGAGTTGAGCGGGTGCCAGCTTGAGAAGAATTCGATCCAAAATTTTGGCTCGTAGCTTGGCTCGTATATTTTGATTTGAGCCAAAATTCGAATTAATTTTTGAGCGATTAATGATCTTCGAGCTAAATTCACAGCCCTACGGTTAGGGGAGTAGATGTTTTAGATTCGATTTATGTTAAGAAAGATACAGGTAGACCTAACATGACATGGGCATATTGTATAAAATGATTTTAATTTTTTTAGAGTTAAATGAAATATGACACTCATAGGATACAATGGAGAAAAATTCATGTAGCCGATCCCACTTAGTGTGATAAAGGCTTGTTGTTGTTGTAGTTGTTGCGTCCTACTTTTTTCTCAAAGCATGTTGAACTCATGTTCGATGCATGCCGAGGCCTATCTTGGATTTGTTTGGTTTTGAAAAAAATTCAGACACATATTTTATAGTATCAGACAAGCTTCAGGGTGTGTCAGACAAGTGTAGGTGTCCGATACATGTACGACACATTGTTAGAAGTGTCGGTACTACATAGTTGAGGAGGTTAGGTCTAGGCATGCTAGTTTAGATCTTCCTTTGATCTATATATATTGAACTGAGATGTATGGATGTCTTCCAGGTGAAAAGGATTTTTTTTTTGAGCAAGTAGCTTCAACAAAATACGATCACAAAGCTTAAATTCTACATAGTCAAAGTAGCTCATGCAAACATTGCAAGTTAATAAAAAAGCTTGAAAAAATAATTTTAATAATGGCTTTGGATTTGTAATGTAGAAGTACCATAAAAGTAATCAAAAGGTGTAATTTTGTTGATTAAAACAAAAAAAAATTAAAAAAAGGGATTGTTACTGTACAAGGCATGTTTTCAAGAGAAGCAAATAAGTCATTTAAATTTGAACCAAAATTGATCTGTAAAAAAAATTGACAAGCCCAGAAACACACTATACAATTTAAGCCAATTTTGATGTGGGAATGCAAAAAAATATGACAGTAAAAAGGTTCCTTCATGAATGAGCAAAGAAACTTGTTGATATAAACAGTAAAAATGAGAAAGCTCAAAAGTTGGCAAAAATGTTATAAAAAAATGCCAAAGATATAATATTTCTTGATCTGATACATGTGGTTAAATTACTAAAGGGAAAAAGTGTAGCCATGGTAAGTGGAAAGTGGTTTTGGGATTTTAATTATGTTAAATGTTTTTGAGGTGAACATGGCAATCTTCTTGAATTATGCTGACATGAAGGAAATATGTTAGTGCAAGTTGGAGAATTATTAAATGGGATCTTTAATGAAGCAATTCTTGAAGGTTGGACTGATATAATTATAAAGTATACAGTACATTTATCGAAAATTTCAGATGGAGTCATCTTTGAAAAACATGCATAATGATAAAGGTTTTTGTCCGACTGAGATACCTGATTAGGTTAGAAAATTTTCAGAGGTATTGTAGAAATTTGGTTAACAGTTTTGTAAATAATCTTATACAAAGGCTTTCAAATAAATGGATATGTTACGTTCGTGACACCAATCAAGAGGAAAAGGAGATGCTCAATATGTTGATAAATACAAAGACAAAAAGTGGCTTGGAAAAATCATGTTGATCTCGAAGAATTTATTTAGTGTTATGTTAGGAAGATGTACTTCATAGTGTATATTTTTAACTAG